ACCCCATACAAACCAACAAACTTTGTCCATTGTGGTTGGTAAATTGCTTTGGCAGTAGCAAAGGTTAATTGTGCTGCTTTCATGCAACATCAATGCGCAGGAGTGGTAGCGAGCTGTTAGTGTGGAAGTAGCAATGTTCATATTTAGAGTCTTTAATGATCTTGTAATTTAAGGGATCCAGTGACATTCAGGGGAAAAAATATATGTAGGAGAAAACGTATCAGGTTTGTAACCTTTTTGTGTACCGCAGGGTGCAACAGCTGTGATTTTCCCATTGCGAAAATCCCTTTCATTTTTGTCATACAGAAATAGAGCTTAGACCTGGAGTTGCTAATATTGGCATGACACACAACTTTAGAGGTTTATGGGAGTCACTATCAACTGGGGATGTGCACAGGTACTCAGATATTCAGTTAATCATTCAAAGGGCCTGTATTCGAGAACTGAAATCACTGTTTGGGTGCTTGCTCCATCCCGGGAAGTGGGAAAAATATACAGGCAAAAATTTTGTCAAATGACAAGTTTGGTTTAACAGTACAGTAATTTATGGTGAGTTTGCTCATATGTTTGAGTATGTAAATGTATTATATTACACGTTGCATCTGTGAAATGCATATGTCTTAATGTGAGTTTGTTGCCAAGGACACGACTGCGAAGGCAGAGACAATTTGGCCTGGCATGACTTCAGTGCTAAGTAAGCTAACTACTCTAGCTGACATTAGCTATATCTAGAAACAGTAAAACATAATTCTGACATATTAATATTGACACATCGTCCACCTGTAGAAAGACAACGAGCGCTCATCAGCATCCAGTCTTGTAATGGTTAGCAGTAGTTTCAGTTCCTTATCTCAACTGAAGAGGAAGCCTTTGTTACTCACCCAACACGAAAAACCTAATACTTTCTCTTGGCTTCTTGGCGACACCAGTGCTGACACATAAAAAGGTAAGCCCAGCCCTACAATAAGTCAGTTTTTTTCCCCAGCGGTTAACAGTACATGACACAAAGATTTGAATGTGGATATCAACATTTAAAAAGCAGAATTCATAATTTTACAGTTTCCAGCATTTTTTCTCTCAATTTAGACTCTGACCAGAAATGTTTACTAAACAGTTTTGCTTACTTTGATAACACTAATTATGAGTGATCTGGATCTGTCTCAGGAAGCATTCTAAATGCGTTTCATCTATGCATGAAACAAAAACAGTTAACTTAGCCTATAATATTGGCTCAGTTCACAGTACAACTGTGCTAAGCTATCACTTCACTAAAGTTCAGCTCCACTTACTTCTTTCGTTTCTCTCCTCATATGCCAATTTAAAACTCTCTCTTATGGCCAACCTCTGTGCTGATTTAACGTGCTCAATCAGGCAAAACAGCACTGACAAGAGCCAACTACAGCCGACACACCACACAAACTACAGGCAGCGGTCAGCCACTGGCACTCACCACCTGCCTGATGCTGTCCAATGGCTAACTTTCAGCTGGTGTGTCAGGGCCTAAAGGCCAATTCAAAAAGCATTTATGAAGCCTTTTTCCCTCTGATCATACAGATATTACAGATCATAATTATTGTTTCAGTCCATACTGGCTCCACTAGGTGTGTGTTTTTTGTCCATCAAAACCTGAGCCCTTCAGTCCTTCTGTGTTTCTTTTATACACAGAGTCAACATTTTTTCACTTGCATGAGTGAGTGAAGTGTAAACTCCAGAGAGATGCACACAAAAAACAGGCAAACTTTCTGTAGAATTATGATCTCTACTTAAAATCATAATCTACTAAAATGTTGTGTCTTTTTTGCCTGATAGTTGCCAGATATCTATTTTCTAGGGAAATCCATTTCCACTAATTGTTTTTTCAGGCCAGGTGTTAGACCCTTCGAAGCTACCAATGTGGTTGTGCTTTTGTGGTATCATCAAGCGTGTGTTTGGCCGAAGTAGCATCCTCACACAGAAATATTGTTAAAAATACAGTGAATACATTATGCATGTGAAAACACCATGGTTTATGTTCTCTACACTTATTTTCAAGATGTGTAACTGAGTTCATTTACATTCATTTACAAGATTTGCATTTGAAAAATGAATGTGGATGCTTTTCAGTACTCGGTCAAAAAATAATTCACATCTTTCTTTGGAGATGCAGAGAAATAGTGTTTAGTAGCTCCTTCAATACTGCTTGGACTGTGTAGTCTAAAACTCTGTCAAAAACTGTGTACTACTACACCGTACATACTATACTAATGAATGGGCTTCTAATGCTGGAGTGCTATATTTGACTTATGATTTACTATGGTATATATACGCAGTTGTGCTGGGATTTTATCTGCTTTTGATTATTAGGGCTTGAAGAATGCAGTAATAAGTTGATTGATTATGTTTGTGAACATCCAGAAGGGGGAGCTCCTACTGGTTTTCTCTTGAGAAAATGACAGAGATGAAACCCCACACTTCAGGTTTCACATCTTTTATTAGTGTTCAGTGGTATACAGTATTTCAATAAAACCACCCAAAGTAATATTTTAGTTTGCAGAAAAACTAAGAAACCAAGAAATTTAATGATTGAAGTCTACTGTGACTAGACTAGAACTAGACGCTGTACTCCCGACACAAGCCAGCTCGCCTTTGCAGCATAAACCTTGCTGGATCCGTGCTGGAATATAGTATGTAATATAGTAAAATGTGTACCACACAAAAACAGAGCGCTAGGAAATAACATTAGCCCACTAATTGTATCCTCATGTCTCAACAAAGCCGGGTAGCTTGTTTAATGATTGGGGAAAAGCTGCTAACAATACGTATACAGCCATGATGATAACTAGGCATTTTACCTTATATTAAAAGAGGTAATACCTGCAATTCTGATTCGTTCCAATAAACAGATCTTCCCATCTGAAGCTATGTGACAGAACCAGACACAAAGGCAGTGTGGACTGGACAGACAGTCACTTGCACTTTGCTTACACTGTCACGTATGTGTTACGGATGTTTCATGTCCACTTTGTGTGAATTCGGGGTAACACCCTACTCTCGGTTCAGTGCATTGGTATAGGGTGTGATGATATATCATGAAGAAGGTGTGTTTCAGCAAGTTCTACTCACTCACACACCCAATCCTCAGCTCAGTACAGTGAATTGGACAGGCCTCACTTATTAGTGCTCTTCAGACTCTGTGGTAGATTTGTATAGGATGAATAGGGTCTATCAGTTTAGCCCAGTAGTCTACTCTTTTTGTACCCATACAGCACTGAGATACATTTATGTGTGTGCTCACTGTGCTTGAATCACATGTTGAATTCTAATGTGGTCATTATGCCTGCACAGTCGTTTCTTTTGCCAATCATACTGTGTCTAGTGTGAGACATGAGTTTAAAAAGTTTTTTTTCTTTTCACAAAAATACACTCATTGTGAGAGCATTGGAGCTCTAGTGATTGTGTAGTACTGCGCAAAAGTCAGAGACCACCCTTTCATTTATTTCATTTCTAGTCAAAACGACTGTTAATTGCAAGTTATTGTTTTTTCAGCATCGGGAAAAAAGCAGAAATTCTATATAACAGAAAATTAAATGCAACCCTCAAAAACTAAATATAATATTTATTTTTTTCAGTTTTTAGTGTTTCTACACTTTTCCTTTATTTCAACTTCCATTTTTTTCACAGAAATCTGCAGAAATATTTTTCCACATCTCCAAAGTTCAGTCTTAGAAGTTGGATGCATTTTCTGTTCATCACAATCCAAGTGATCCCAATGACAAATGCAGACTCATCAATCCGAAAGACCTTACCGCACATCTCAGGTGTCCTGTTTCAGTGTTCTGGTGTAAATGTTCTACTTTTTGGTCTACTTTCTTTTCTCAGTAACAGCTTCTTGATAGCTACACATCCTTTCAGGCTGTGTTGAGTTGTCTTCTCACAGTGGAATGATGGACAGAAACACACAGAAACAATACAATTTTTCAGTTTCAACATTTGATATGTCGTCTTTGTACTATTTCCAATTAAATATAGGGTTTTAATGTTTTGCCCATCATTGTTTTTCTGTTTTTATTCACGTTTTGCTCAGCAACTGAACTTTTTTGGGAATGGGGTCGTAATCAAAATCTGAAACCTGCAGTTAGATGTTTTATATTGTATATAAATAAAGTGGAAAACTGGGTGGTCATCAGCACTTAGAGCAGCTTTTGCTAAATGAGAACTTAATGAGGAGGCATCTGCTAATCAGTTCTTCTGAGGGCCAAGTTAGAGCTGAGAAATAAAAGTAAAGATGACTTGGATGAAGTCATGCTGCTGAAAATGGCAAAGCATAGAGGACATCTGTTCTCGCTAACAACTGACATGCTTGGCCACTTGGGTTTTCAGCTTAGAAGTGTGAGAAACACTGGCCACCGTTTAGAAAGCATTGCACGGCTTTGGTGCACCTCCATATTGCTCGTTCTCTAGCTAATGGCCGATGGAGAAGATTGGGCGTTCTTGGCCAATCCCGGGTTGGGTCTCTCTGAGAGCGATATTGATGTTTTGCAAATGAATCAGTGCACTGTGAATAGACACAACCTCTTCACTCCGCCCCCTCTGCCTTGAGCTCCATCTGCCGAGCCGCTTTCAACCCGGAGGTCTGGGAGATATCCACCACGTCCACGCTCGCTCATTACTCACACACACTGTACCCCGTCTCTCTCCCACTGTGTGTAGTTAGAAATAAACACTTGGACAGGCGCACCAAAGTCTGCCTAATCTCTCATCCCCTTCATTACAGCCAGGAATGAAAGCGAATATCGGTGGCACAGACACATGAAGGCCGGAGCGCTTTTCACATATTGTGCTGATTAACACAAGAAGAGGGGCCTTGTTGTTTTCTCGCTCTTTTGAAATTCAAAATGGCACGAGGCAAATCGGGGAAGGAAAGAAAGAGCACAATGTACGCCGCAATTATCTTTCACCGCGAGCTGCCGCGAGGGCTGTGCGATTGTTGATGGTGTGATTTATGTTTGTTCTGTGATCAGGTGTCGGAGAGGTGTGATTACGTGTATGTGAATGGGAAGGAGACGAGAGGCAGGGTGAAGATGAATGTGAACTTCACCTACAGCTACCTGAGTGCTCAGCTGGAGGTCAGCGTGTGGATGCCCCACTTGCCCCTGCAGATCGACATGTCCGACCCAGAGCTCAGCCAGATCAAGGGCTGGAGGGTGCCCGTCACCACCAGCAACCAGAGGTGAGGCTTATATTTGGCTAGGAAACAGCTCAGAAATGGCCTTAATGAGTTAAAAAGTTTTTTTTTTCATTGATGTGCATGTATGATGCCATGCTAATAGTCGGGCCCATGTCCTACATTTCTCTTGTATTTTATTTTTGCAGCTGGTCCTCTTTTAATATTGTGTGTTCATGTGCTAAGAACAGTTACAATTCATTTTTACATGATCATTTTCAAACAACTAGCTGTCCTGTATTGCACCTCATTCAAAAAGCTGTCTGGTCTGAAATACTCCTTATAACTTCATCATGAATGCGTGGAGCTAAACTGCTGTATGTCGAATGGACGAAGATTTGTAAATGCACTGGGGAGAGAATGGTGTGTTCTAAAATTTTTACAGCGTTTATATACTAACTCTTATATTTAAAAAAGTGAGGAAAATTCCGTTTTCTATGATAGGGGCCCTTTAAAATGTAAATATAATAGTAATATTCTTAGTGCTAGTATGCAAATTCTTCATAATTGATTTCATAGGCTTACTTTTTGACTTAGGAGCAGCTACCCTCAACTCTTAACTCTAAATCCTAAGGGCCCTTATGTGGGTGCACATTCTGTAGCTCTCATAACTACATAACTTCCAAATTAGTTTCATAGTTATCAACTAATTCACAGTAGTTAATAAATAATATGTCCTAAGATTAATAATTAAATAAAAAGCCTAGAGTCCAAGGGGTTAGTAAGCTTGCTAGTGCTAGTATCAAGAGCCTTCATTAGTAAATGCATAGGCTTATATTTGGCTTAGGAAAACTCAGAAACAGCCTTAAACCCTACGGGTCTGTATGTGCTTCCACACTTCAGTTCCTCATACTCAAAAGTGCATAACTTACATGTTAATTTCATAGTTACTAAATCATTCATAACACTTACTATATAGTAACCTTGGAGTTCAAGGGGTTAATGAGTTGATTTATATTAAATACTTCAATTGATATGCATCTATATTTAAAGATTTAAATGCATTTACATTTTTTTCTAGTGCTTGCATTGCTAGAGCTAGTTAATGTATAGGCTCATTTTTGGCTTAGGAACACCTCTGTACCCCCTGATGGCCCATATGTAGGTCAGCAGTCACATTCCACACTCTCTTATATCAGTTTCATAGTAGTTACTAAATCATATATGGTAGGTACTGAGTCATAAGTTTTTTAATTAATAACTGAATAATAAGCCTAGAGTTCAAGGGGATTAAAGTTTTTGATTAATATGCAGAGTCTTTGATCTGTGTTGCAATGTTAATGTTAACAGTATTTCTTAATATAGGAATGCAGTAATGATATTCCCAGTACCCGAAGCCTCTTTAAAGGGGAATTCTACCAGTTTATACCAAAATGTCTGCAGAATTTAATCATTAAAACAAAATTAATCAGTATGATTTGATGTGAAATGGTTCGTTATACAGATACTTGGATTTCTTCACAGTGGAGGTGATAGGGACCAGGGCTTGTGATACCTACAACACAAATATAGGCATTACATTTGCTATCCAAAATGACCAGTGAACCTATGCATGTCTTCTGTAATATTTATAGTGGTAAAATAGTGATGAATCTATAATACATACATTTTCTGGGGTCTATTTTGCCTTACAATGCACTACATGTACCTCGTCATCCTGAATGGATTTTTAGAAAGCATGTTTTAGGTCAAAACTTTATCACAAAACTAACACAAAACAGTGCCTCAGGCATCAGGTAATGTATTCATTACCATTTTGTGTAATAACTTTCTCTGAGGGAGCTTTTCGATGTATTAAATGCTTTAGACATCTCTTTCCTCTCACCACCACTGTGAACAATTCTGACTCAGCAAGTTTCTCTAGAACAGAGCGTTTCGCATCAGACCACTCTGAATGACTTTGTTTACATCTTAATGCTTGAGTTACGCTAAAATTTAGACAAAATGTGGACTTCCCATTCAAGTAAATGTGTGGGCTTAGGAATATGTCAGAAAGTCACTCCTAAGAAGTGAAGGTAGTTTTTGATTAATATGCATATAGAATACAATATTAATAGGAGCTTTTCCTAAAATAGGAATGTCAGAATCATATTGCTAGAAGTCTTCATAAGTAAATGCACAGCTAGCAGCTGACAGATGCAGTTGGCTCACTTATTTGAGTCTCAGAACATGTTATGAGAATAATGACTGAGAACAGTATGGATGGGGAACACCTGATCTTAGATAAGCACTTCCTGCTCTGAGAGTCTTCATATAACAATGACACTGGCCTTTTTTCTCAGCCCCCCGACTCTTCTGTCCTCTGTGCACTTCGCTGTAGCCGTATCCTGGTAACACCAGCCACACGCTACTGTTCTGCTCTGAAAGCATGATGGAGGAGCGGGGAGAGGAAGCTGATGCTGATTTTTAATTACCGCAGGGTCGTTCTCAATCACATCTGCCTCTGACACGGTGCCGTCAACCAACGCACAGGTTAATACTGGCATATGCCGTGAATATCCACAAGACAAGTTTTAATTACGCTTCCCTGGAAACAGCACGCTGAAGTTGAATTCATGCATGACAAGTGTGAGCGAGAGAGAGAGTGAGGGAGAGAAATGACAGAGGTAGAGGTGGAAGGTGTCAGCAGGAAAAGGGCCAGAATACAGAGATGAACGTGGGAGATATTTCAAGCTGTCAGCATTTGTGTGAGGTTAAAAATACACTGGGCTGACCCTTGTTGCTCTAGGAGGACATATTAAAGCTCTAGCCAAAGGCCCTAATGGAGGATGAGGGTATAGCTCAGTAGTCTCAGTATCACACCCTTTAAGTTCCACAAGGATGACTGGTGACAGTTTTAACTTTGGAAATGAACAGGCTGGATCTGACAGACTGGGTCCGTGGCTTCGGTTTCAATAAGATCCCGCTCTAAAGTCCTGCCTATGCGACTACCAAGAGTCCATCCCTCACATTGGCCCCTGTAGTGACCAGTGTAAGCTTTAGTTAAGATCATTTTCAAATGGACATTAAAATGAATGAATTTGAAGTTGTCCTTTGATTTGATTCATTAAATTAATTCAAGTGAACCATTTAGCAAACTGCATGAATCCGGTTTGTATCCCCGCTTCTTTTTTGAAACAGCTGTGATTTGCTAGGAAAAAAGAAAGAAAAGAGGGCTGATTACACAGCAGTGGCTATGTGTATCCAGGCAGTGTTGCTGCATTCATGAACTGTAAAGTTTCTGACCTCAAAGTAGAAAAAATCCAACAGCCCTCCAACTGATAATTCGTACTCTAAAAGTCAGAGTTTCTCAAGAGCTCCCACTTCTCCGAGATGCAATCTCGTACCTTTACTTCAAAATGGCAGTGCCTTTAGAATCAGAAGCAATAGCATGTTTTAAAGCAGACTTTGGGGTTTTTATTTCTGTATGATATATTTGTACATGATTTCTCTAAATACAGGGAGCTACTAAGTATAAGTCACTATGGGCAAGATTTTTTAATGAAACTAGGTGCTACCATATAATTCATGGCCCTAAATTAAGTGTAAATTGCAGCAGCCTACATCCATGTTTAAAATAAATTAAGCATTAACTAAACTGTGTCTTCTGTGTAAAAGCTATTTGAGAGCTTTTTAGCCTCACTCTGCTTCAGGAAGTTCCAGTTTAGACTTTAGAGCATCATCCAGAAAACAAAGGCAGTCTGAGCAGCAATATCCAATCTTGCCACTGAGGGGCGCTCTACCACATGTGCCCTCTCTCTGCAGCTGCCCTGTTTGTGGTCAACAGGCCTCTGGGACAGTGGAAAACATGCAGCATTCCTACAGCTGTGTTGTGTGTTTATGCGTTAGCCAGATTACTCCAGAAAGCTTATCCACCCTGACATTCCTGCCTGTTCCACGCCACCTACTGCAAATGTCATAGCGACTCCGTATATGGCCAGCTGTGCACGGCTGGGTTGCTGCTGTTTAGAAGAGCGTGGCCTCTACCTGTCATGAGCACCATGTTAAGCTGCCACTGCCTCCCCCTTTTGTGGTTTTTCGAAGGCCGTGCCTCATTAGGCCTAATGGATGCTGTCAGGCCCCATCCTCGGCTCACCTGGCCGGGCTGTGGAGGAGAGGCAAAGCGAGCATGCAGTGGCTAGGCTGTAATTGGCCAAGCTCCATGTTTACACCCTGTCACACTGGTTTGAGCCTTAACGTCATCTGTGTTGAACTGACCAGACCTCGCAATAGAACTGCAATAGAATAGCATGGAATAGATTAGAATAGGTAACATGATTTGCCTCAGGTGATGCTTCAAATGATGTCTTCCATTAGTCAAGGTTATTTTTAGTAGGCCTTAATAATAACTGAACAGTGTGGTTATATCTGTATTCACTGGTAGTGCTGGTCAGCCTTCATCATATCAGCCAAGAAAAAATAAACAAAAATATTCAATCGTTAGCAAAATATTTTGCTGATTAAATCAACTGATAATGTAGTACGACACATCATACAAGTTATTGGATTTGGATAGTATAAAAAAAAACTTTTCTACATTTAAGCGATAACAAGGGGATAAATTGGGCCTCCAGCATCTTTGTTTCATTAGAGTGTTAAACAGAGCTCAGTGCCTGTAATCTTTACTGTAATTTAGTAGAAATAGTAAATTGTTGAAATTTTTTTTCATTAACTGTTATAAACTACAATGACAGACTGACAGATAACCTCTAAACAGTTATACATTCCCCCACCCTGCACCCAAGTTTGTTCATATATTGGCTGCATCATGTTTAAGTGGCATTTACTCCTCTCCTCATTCTGATGTCTTTCACAATCATGTAAATATGTAGTGAATCCTTGCTGCTGTTGATGTTTTTACCTGTTAAATAATTTGTTCATAATATCTCAACTATTAAGTAACCAAGATTATTCTCATTATCTTGTTAAAGCCATACTGATTCCAGTATATCCTGTCGCATGTCCAGATTCAAGTTGACACGACTAAAGTATCTAAGTCAAACATTTCTTTGTTCCATTTAAATGAGATTTTACTAAATGTGACCACTTTGCACAAAGTTAAACTGTTTAGTAAACTGGTTCAGAGATAAATTGGTTATGTGAGGCAGGGAGGCTGAGAATTCCAAATCTGATTGGATGGCATTGAACACTTTACAGGCTTTCAATATAACTGTATTGTCTGTATCAGTAGTCTCGTTACAACAGGAGTCATCTGGTCCAAGCATACCCTTAAAAAAGGACAGGGATGATGGAATGATTATTATGTTAGATGGGTGTTATCATTGTTTGGAACAGTTTGTTTTGCTAGTTTAAAGGCTTTGGTGTAAGATTCAGAAAATATTTTTTATATTATTTTAATGCTGAAACTGACAAACAAGTTATACTAAAAACAGACAAGTTAATAAATTCTCTTTGTTAAGCCAAGACAGAAACATATAGGCTGTCATTTTCTTTCACATTTTTATTATATCAGTCCTCAGAACTCTGTATAATATCACATAAATTGCACAACATTGTTCTCACCTTGTTGACACCCATGAAAAATATTGCAAATCTTAGTTTAATCCCTGGTGATAACCACAGATACAACCAATTAAACTCAACTCAAACTCAGTTAATTTCAGTCCAGTCCTAAAGTCAAGTCCAGCACTCTAATGATGTTAACAACAGTCACTGTTGCAAAGCAGCTTTATAGAAATCCATATCCTAACCCCTAATGCACAAGCTGACCAGATGTTATGATGCTCTTATAACTTCCTGGCAACCTATTGGGTCACATAACCAAAGGAATACTGGTCAGGACACTACAAATATGTAAAATACTACAATAAGATTATGACTGTGTGCTGAAGACTGTAGGTCATTAATTCCTTGTTTCTTCTGTTCAGGTCCAGCGTGGAAGATAATGAAGATGAGGGGTCCAAAAGGGATCGTGGCTGTGGTCCACAGTACCAGAGCACCACTGTGCGTGTCCTCACATACTTTGAGGCAGAGCCAGAAGAATGGCGGGGCCAGCCAGACTTTTTACTGGGCAGTGATTGGCAGGTGGACGTAACAGAGCTTGTACGGGAATCAATGAGAGTGGACGACACACGTGTGGCCAGTCTGCTGGATGGTCAAGTGCTGATGGGCCTAAACACAGGGACTGCCAAAGTCCAGGTAAGAGAGGATGTGTGAGTATGAATGAGACAATTTCAGCCACACTGATCGCTAAGAGCCTCGTCATCTCATGGATCTCATATCTGGAAAATGTCCAAAAAAGATTTAGCCACATTTAGTTTACACCTGACAACAGTAATATGCAGTTCGGTTTGCATCAGTGCTGCTTTTCTCGTCTCACATGCAAATTTGAGAAATTTTCATAAAGAATCTCCTGAGATCATGGCAGGTGCCACAGAAATTTTGTCCTATGCAGTTGTTAATTTTAAAAGAACAAAAGAAAGAAAACAGCTCTAGTCTGATTCTGCTTCTGCAATGTAGAAGGTGACCAGAGCTGCTATGTGCAGTTTTTATTTTGACTTACTTGCTTAAATACACTAATGAAAAGCTCTGTATGCAATGCTGACATAGTTCCATTTTGAGAGATCATGTATGCAGATAAAAGAAACCATTACATTTAACATTTGACTCAGCTGCGCCTCCAGTGCATCTCAAACCACCTCTTGCAGTGGCCTGAGTGATTGGATAGCACCTCGTCTCCGATATGTCTTGGTTTTATGTGCATGATCAGGCCAAGACACATGAAGTGGCTAAGTGTAAATAGGCTTTAAGTATGCCGTGCTCTGCTCAGAATCAACTCTTAATGAAACCACAAATGAACCTTAGCCTGGCCTCGAATTCTCCTGGAACCTCATATAGTTAGAGAAGCTGCCTGTCAGCTGTGCAAAGGTAAATATACCCTGCTGTGCTATAAAACAAAATTCATCTATCTTTCTCCTGGCCGCGGCACCTGCAGGGTCGAGCCCGTGGCAGGCCGGCAGCAGACGGATGAGCTGCACTTTCCCTGTGCTTATTCGCTTTCTTTAGGAGAGACAAATGAAAGGATGTCAGTGACGTCTCGGGAGCAGCACCCAGTCGTTTGTCTGTCTGCGTGTGGATGAGTGGAGAATTACTCGCAGTGGTGATGTGGCATGTGTATGCTGTCACGCTGAAGCCAGATGGCACACCATCACTCTCTCTGCCACTCGCACAGTCCAAGCCCACTCATGACTTCTACATTGCCTGTCTGCGCAGTGGAGCTTTATTTGACCTTAAGATTAAAGGTGGGTGATATGGCAAAAATATCAAGTGTCACAATACTTGTGAGGGCATTTTTGTAATACACAAGTTGCGACAGATGAAAGGCAGCAGCAAAACACATTGAAAAAAGCCTACAGTCTTAAATATTTGTGAAGGATACTTGGCTTAGATGTGTAGTTTTAGAAATAACCCTTTAATTGGTATAGAATATTTATTTTTAAAGAGGTTCTTTAAACATTAAAAAGGTTTTTCACACTCTCATGTCTCAGAGAGTGAGGGCCATCCAGAGAGAGTGATTCTGCTCTCTTCAGTTCTGCTCTCTTCAGCTCCTGGCTCTGAATGGCTGTGGCATCGAACTCGCTGTCTCTCAGTGACAGGGCCAATGCTTGAATAGTTGTGCCACTCTGGAGCCCCTGGAAACTTTATTTTTAAGAAAACATTTAAAAATTTATAAGTATAATGACTTTTTTGATTCAGCATTTGCAAAAAATAAACTCTTTGAAGCTGCGCTATGTAAGATTTTTTTGTTGAAAATTGAAAAAATTCCGTAACAGATCTGGCGGGTGGTGCTTTTTTACGAGCGCGTTTGGCTGTCCAGTGACATTGCGCGAGCAGCAGTTGAAAAGATGCGGTGGTGCATAACAGGTCTCAGAGGAAGCCTGTGCTAGCTTTCCCCCTCCTAGCGTTTTAGTGTGAATGGGGGAGTCCAAAATAGTGGGTGGAATTGGAAACGATTAAGTTGTGGAGAAAAGTGGGGGGAAAATCTTACATAGTACACAATTTGCTTATATTTCGGAAGACATGTCCTTCACAAAGTGTTGGCTAAGTTCTCTTTGAATACTCTTTCGGCTCACTCGCAATAATCAGATTCAACTGTTCGGTGAGAGAGTCTGAAGCCCAACTTTACAAAAAGTTCTTCTGCATGTGGCTTGTAATTACGCATGTCCACCAGAGAGGTCTCCAAATCCCCAAAACTTTCATAGTGCAGCTTTAAGAAGAAAAAGGAGGAAATATTAAACCAGTTTGTAAACATATATGAATGAAATAAGATAATAGGCTGCTTGTTACTGTGCCTTTTATGCAGTTGTTGTTGTTGTTATTAATGTTGTTGTTTGCAGACTGTATAATTGGTCTATAATTGGTCCTTTTTATGAAAAAATATAGTTATTCAGTGTTATAGAAGCAGTTAAACAATACAATTAGTATATGATGTACTCAGAAAAATATATTGTTCCATAATTTATTTCAATAACGATAGCATACCATTATAATGTCCACCTTTATTTAGGACTGAACGGTGTGGACAGTTCTTCTGTCGTGGGTAGCCCTCCATCTCTGTCCTCGTGTGTGCTCTTGCTTCGTCTGTCTTTCTCTCTCTTTTTCCCCATCTTACACTCTCTCCATTTCTGATTCTCTCTCGCTCTCTCTTATACACGCACACACACAGAATGATAGTTGAAGGCTAATCATATCTGACACTCTACACATCACACACACACTGCAAGCTGAAAAGACTATTGACAATACTGTTAGTCCGCTGTGAAGTTTTATTTGATAGCAAAATTGCCTCCCTCTCTCTCTCTCTCTCTCTCTCTCTCTCTCTCTCTCTCTCTCTCTCTCTCTCTCTCTCTCCCTCTCCCTCTCCCTCTCCCTCATTCTCTCGCTCTCTTTCTCTCTCTCTCTCTCCCTCTCCAGTGTCTCAATTTGAGCCTACATCCACAAACCAAGAGGGCCTCCAATAGGTGGAAATTAAAATCAGATAAAAAAAAGCCAGTAATGGCTGCAATAGGAGGCATGGAGAGGCTGAAAATTGAAGTGCTTCTGTGAGAGCCTATATGGATGTGAATCACAGCCTGCTCCCTAAAATAAAAAATCAAAAAGGCTTCGAATAGATCTATCCTTGACCTGAGCACTTAGCCATGACCAAATGATCAAAACGTCTCAAACCAAACGCTCTATTAAGCTTCAGTAATGTTCACTGCTATTTTCACTTCATTAACGATAACTGAGCGACTAATTACACTAAACAATGCAGGGAGAATTGCAATTAGAGTTGGGAAATTTTTGTCTGCACAAAACACAATGAAGTCTGTTTCAGTGTGAGTCTTGCTTTTGCAGGGAAAAAGCAGCAGGAACCCACTTTAGTTTCTTTTTTACTAAATACAGTATAAAACTGGAGCATCAGGACAGCATATAATAAAATACAGAGCATTGCCTAAGGCTTTCTCTGGATGATCCTATGTCTAATTAATAAATTTCACATTTAAGCTCCCAAATTAGGCAATGGAGGGCAAAGTTTTTTGGATAATAAGTAGAATTTAACATCTGAGCTTTTTGCTTTTTGCTGTCGTAGACATTCATGTCATATAGCGTAAGGGAAATGTGCTGTAAACCTTAGATTTGAGAAGCAGTGGGGATGAGGTTTAGAGGCAGTGAGTGGAGCTGTAGGTAGGAGGCAGTGTGAACTGTGTCGGGCTGTGACAGTGAGCTATAGCTTCTGCCGATGAGGAATATTCATTATGACAGAGGAAATGTGGAGAAATATGGAGGCAGCTAGATTTCCCTTAATTGATCTGGATGGGAAGGCTCCTCGTCACTTTGCATTTCACAATCCATTTCCATGCCTGAGCATCATGTGAAGTTTGGGAGGAGGGAGGAACTGTCATTCACTCACTGCCGCTTTGTTCGCAGAATTTGCTGCAGTTATTTTTATCACGTTATTGACTGCATCAGTGCATCTTACGCTGCGCGGTTGTGTAAGAGAAGCACCTGCGGCTGTGTGTTTTGACTGTCTCTCCTGCGTTCTCGGGGCCAGGTGATGTCTCCTCTTTCGGACGCGGTGCTGGCTGAGAGGATGGTGCGGGTGCTGGATGATAAAGTGAGCATCACGGAGCTGGGAGTGCAGCTGGTCTCGGGCCTCTCGCTGAACCTCCAGCTCAGTCCAGGCAGCAACAGGGCCATCGCAGCTACCACCACCACTCAGGACACCATGCACAATGCCAAACAGGTACAGCACTAACCCAGTGAATGAATTGACCACAGTCATCCCACTTGTAAAACCTTCACTCTATTTCCATCCACTTCAGATTTATGCCATTATATCCTAATGCTGTTATATCCTATATCCTAGGATGTCTATCACAGATCTTTAAATTCTGTCTATATAGCATTTACTAACGTCCATGAAAGAACAGCACAGTCATTGTAAGATTCTCAAGCTATTTATATTCACATTTGGCTGCAGTTGATAGCCCAAAATTGGTTCTAATACCACAATATTACAAAAGCCTGATATTGCTTTCTAGGCAACCTAATCACAGTATAACATGAAGCTTTATTTCCTGGTTTAAAAGTGTAAATAATGAAGTATACGTACAAGTCATAAACACCATAGCATCCCCCCTCTTGCATTTTTTTCACAGTTCGACTTCTGAGAACTTCCACAGCACAGTTCCTGGAGGATCACACCAATGCAAAGTTTAGCACTCTACCTACACATTATACTAAGATACCTGGACAGTTAATTAGCAGGGACATTAGTGGTTGATTTCACAGTGTTAAGCCCTATTTGAGTTAAATTAATTTTACCTGGGCCGGTGCTGTAATTTAAGTGATTACTGATGAGATCTGCAAATTTAGTCCAGTATGAATCTACAAAGCTTGTAGTTTGACAGTATTCATTTCAGAGAGAGTAACTGAACAGAATTCTGCAACTGGCTAAACCCAGAGCTTCAGCAGTAGTAATGTTAGAACTGACCTCATGTTAATATAATAGCAAAACCACTTGCAACAGGCAGGTGCTGTGTTGTTTTTGTTACTGAGTGTGACACACTGATGTGTATGTCCAGGATATGCCCTTTCAAATTGGACAAATTACAAATCAAGTCAAATCCCTTAAAAATGACATCATAGCACCTCCTCTGTTGAAACTAATCCAGCTAGAATAGCGCTATAGACAAAGGGAACCACTGTGACCCTCCACAATCTGGGTCCTGACACCCTTGGTTGTACTCACCTCCGCTGTTAGTTGGTTTGTTAGTTAGAAACTTGATCTGTCCCAGTTAATGAAATTATTTGAGTTAACACTTCCTTGAACAATTCTGCGTATTGCCTGCCCCAGTGCAATTCATTGACTATTTATCATGCCCTCCATGAACTGGACCTGGTGTGTTGGGGATGGCCCATATCAGGGAAAACCATTTTTCTTGTTGTTATTGTTATGGTTTTTTTAAAACAAATATGTTTGAAGTAGTATGTAAACACTGTCCACTATTCAAAACGTACCATTTACCAGTCAGTCTGTACAGTCCACATATGGACACCACGCTGCAAAAACAGCCCATATTGAATTAATTATTTCTGCGATGTCATGAGAACCAACTCTATTGCATATCCACCTATTCACCCTAAAGCAGTTTAGCCCTGCCCATTCATATTGAAAGCCTAATGAGTGTTCAGCTCTGAGGGGTATGCTGAGGGAATGCTAAGGGATAAAGATGTAAAAATGAATAATGGTACATAACCACCAAATGGTTTAAGTGGACCTCAAGAGAAAAAATAAAATTAAAAAAGGACACAAGCCCTTTAAGACAGGAGCTGAGAATCTCTGGTGTAGAAATCTCATAAATAAGGCTTATATTTTGAGTCATGAGACCAAGCTCAAAACTTTTTTAAGCAAAGAAGCAGAATGCTGACAATTTAATCTGCACCTGTGCAAGTGCTTGAATTAGGTATTCATTGCTGGAAGAAGAGTCACAAAACAAAAACACTGTGTCTTTCCTTTGCAATGGGCTTTTGTCTCTTGCTCATAAATACACGTCAGGGGAGTTGTGTTTCTTTGACCATCGCCAGGTGCAATCACTATAATCACAATCACTACAGGCACAAAGCTGTTGCACAGAGGACATGTGTTGATGAGATGCTGCGGTTTGTTATCACATCAGGGCTGAGGAAGAGCAATTCAGGCTGCCTGCTCATTGTGAGTCATTTCGGAACCTCCCTGATTAGTCTGATTCTGTCGTTCCTTTGTATCGGCAGGAGTTTCCTCTCCCCTCCATCTTGATAGACATAAAACGAGCAGATTGGCTAAATCTCCCGCTGATCAGAGTGTCTGTTATGCAGCAACAACATTGTGCTTTTTCTAAAAGGGAGGGGAAGTTTGAAGTGTTTGAAACTTCCTGTGTAGTAAATTTCTCCAGGGAAGTGTTGTGAAATCCTAAATGAATGTTTAAGGAATCCTGTTTTTTCTATTCTTAGAGAAAACATTCTCTGTTTTCAGTTTTCTCATTAAAAGGGATTGTATAGCGTTTGGCACATGGATGCTGGTCTAAAGGCCTTTAAGTGTGATTTATTCACAAATGTGGTTTATTCATGTGGTTTGTACTTGGAAATTGAAATTGTTTGTGGAAATGTATTTTGCTGGATTCTGCATGCAGATTTACTTGGACCTGGATGTATAACTGAAATGAAAAAGGGCTTGAAGGCAGGCTGCATTTGCAGAGTAGCTTTATTAGGGGCAGTTAAAGGCTGCATTCGGCCCTGACAAAACATAGCAAAACGTTTATTTGAATGGAAATGATGGTGTGTTGAATACTCTGTTGTGTTACACAAGCATTGCAGCAGTGGCAGCTGAGAAGGCCATTCTTGGCGTTCTTCCAGCTTATTCTATTAAAAAAATTACAATAGAATTCTTACAACAAACATGTCTTTTAATATCTTCAGTTGTTGCATACACCAAGCTGCAGCGCACGCATTTGTAGAGGACTTAGAATCCATAATGTGCACTGCTTTTTAATATGGTGGGTTTATATACTCGTTGCTGCTGATTGGGTAACATCTCTGACACGCCCATCAAACGGGAGAAATACCTCAAAACCTGGTGCACATTTCGACCAAACATGTCGTTCAACCTGGAAACCGTAGCAAAACGGTGCACAGTGTTTTGAGCTTGCATGTGCCCCACGACTCTGATATCACAGGAAGGGGTCAAAAACAGGTAGGTACACAAAGGGCAAATCAAATTATCAGAAACCAGTAAACAGAGCAAGAGTCAAACACAGCAAAAGACTAATACAAAGGAACATGGCACTGAACTCAGTTAAACATACAGAGGCACAAGGCGTTGATTATCTGTCATCTGACATCTTATCTATCTGTAGGTGTGTGTAATGAAGGAGGGGTGGAGCTGGGGAGTAGCAGGAGCTAGAATGAGCCATTCCAGGCTGGGCAGGTCCAAACAGAGACTCCCAGAGTGGGAAGACATTGTGATAATAACTAATGAAATTTTCAAGCAAATATGATTTTTCAGACAAAACATGTTATTTTATTTACTCCCAGTCTGCTTTTTGAGAACTTTCGCAGGTGACGTGAACTCACTCAATCCTTGCCTGTGGTGTTGCCATAGCGACAAGGCCTGTTGCTGCTGTAGGCCTACTCGCACCCTGTAGTTGGTCGTCAGATTCGTCAGGTATAAGGCTAGCATCTCCCAAAGGAACTCAGATTTACTCAGGTTTAAGGACATCCAAAAGTATGTGAACGCTCATTATAAAGTTTCTGTTTCTAAATGATGTGGTAAAACTCTCCGGAGAGAGATGTGCCTAATGTCAGAGTTTGCTTTTGTGTGTGGAGAATATCTTCCTCACTTAAGGAAGATTTGTTGTTCATTTTCGGTGTATAAACCTTTTGAACAGCATGGTAAAATTCAGAAGCAGTCGCATCATTTCCGACATGCTCGGTTTTGGTGTGAAAAAATTGGGTCCCATGTGCTATGAATAATGACATAAACATGCCATAATCATGTCACCCCAAATGTCATAAGCTGTCATGATTTGTCATGACAGATTTTGTTTGGTAATATAACAGAGTCATGTTACTATTACTGTTAGTTGTCATGACACTTGCCATAATCTTTGATGTCATGACAGCTAACTGGAGTACACAATAAAAATCAGGATGTAAAATAGACTTTAATGGCGTTAAACATAATGGCATCTCTCATGACAATTAAATTACCTGTAATGGTAACATAACTTACCATTACTGAACAGAATCTCCCGCTGACAACTTATTATAGCTTATGATGTCTGCCGGCATGGTTATTCAGTGTTAGCCTTCATGTTGTGCCTTCATGTTTCTGTAGGAGTCTCTGATCAGTGCTTGGCTGCAGTTCAGTGACGGCTCCATGACCCCTCTGGACCTCTATGACCCGGCGCACTTTGTGCTGACGGCCACCTCACTGGATGAGCGAGTCGTTTCGGTTCAGAGGGACTCATGGTGGAAGTGGCCGGTGGTGGTTGTGCGGGGCGAGGGCCAGGGCCTGCTGGTGCGGGTGGAGATGTATGGCGCTGAATCCTGCCAGACCAAGACCAAGCGTCGTGCTGTTCTGGCTGCGGGCAACGCTAACATCCGCGTCAAATTTGGCCGCAGCGAGGAGGGCGAGAACAGAGCTGGTGACCGGAGGCACAGGCCCAATGCACCATATTATGGAGGCTCCATCTCAGACATGGAGGCTGGGATTGTGAACAGGGGAGCCACCACCATCAAGACAGCCGCTCCTGGAAGGCCCGGTGGTGACAGGCATGCAGCTAGGGAAGTTCCTGCGGACTTTTCGGACTTTCCTGCCCAGGCTGACCTGCCACATGGCCGGAGCACAGAGGAGGACCTGCTGCAGGCACGCCGCGGCCTCACGGACTTGGAGATCGGCATGTATGCCCTGCTTGGGGTCTTCTGCCTGGCGATTCTGGTGTTCCTCATCAACTGCGTCTCCTATGCCCTCAAGTACCGCAACAAGCAGCTGCCTTTGGAGGGCCAAGAGACCATGGCCCACCACGCACATGACTGGGTGTGGCTGGGGCACGAGGGCGAGCTGCTGGAGGGTCACGCCGGCCTGTGTCTGCAGCAGGAGGAGCCAGGAGGCACCATGGACTCTGGTCTGGGCCTGGAGGAGGGCAGCCAGCTCCTCAATGGCCTTTCAGCCCAGAAGAGCATGCACAGGTCAGCCTCAGAGTCAGGCTGTTCGGGCAGGGAGCACAAAAGCGATCCCCTGAACTCGCCCACCACCAAGAGGAAACGGGTGAAGTTCACCACCTTCAGCCACAGCAAGCCCAGCAACGGCTGCCCCTCCATCAGCCCGCTGGTCATCGGGCAGAACGACATCAAGTGGGTCTGCCCAGACATCGAGCTCGGGGACTCCAAAGAGCTCCGAAACTACATGGAGAGGCTAAACGAGAATGCTACTAAAAACATTGCGTAGTGGGATTTGCACTCGTTTTGTTGATTTCTGGACAAAGTGTAGCTCACCCATATGCCTTCAGGGTAAGGAGCTGGGGTTCAGACCGGCTCCGCCGCTTTCAGACAGGCTCGCATCTCACCATGAAAAGGCAGGCCATTCATCTGGTCTTGTTTCCATGGCAACTGTCATAAGGGTTCATCATCAGGAATGAAGGAAAACAGGGACGGCCGTGAAACTGCGGTGAATATATCATCAACTTGGAGTATGAGGAACGTATTTGTTTTGTTGTCTATTTTTAATTCCTTTCATTAACAGGAGTTAGTTTCATTTAATAATGTATGTGTTTTTGTTGTTATTTGTTTTGTTTATTTAACTCTGAGTTGTTATTATTATTCTGTATTTGATGTATTGTTTTTTTTTTCTTCTTTTGTAGTGTGAATGTTTGGGGGGGGTTAATGTACACACATATCAAACATAGACTTTATGGCAAATTGATACATTTACGCACTGTATATAAGGAGGACATATACTGGTTCTGATGAAGTATGAATACATTTTTGTAAGGTTTTACATATTTTTATACATCTCTGTTCCTACCCATGTTGCTGTGTTTCACTGTATGCTCCAAAGACTAACTCATATGTGGATGCATGTATGTTCTAGATATGGACACAAATGTTTATTTTGGGACCTTTTTTCCGCCAACAGTGTGAATATGTACAAACTCCAGAGGACTACCAAGGAACAGTCGCACAGAAGACATATCTTCTCAAGAACTGTTGAGCAAACTGTTATGCGGTAGGTAGTTTTATCCTGTACAAAAAGACGTTTACGGTATAATAGATCGGTAGGAGGTATGCACTCGACCTGTAACTGTTGTCTATTGCTGTGTGTTGCTTTTCTTATTCCTCATTTTCATATTGTGTTGTTTTTTTTTTCCTTTTTTTCCCTTTCAGAAAATAAAATGTTTGTTTATGGTCAGACTGCAATGAAAAAAACAAGTGCTACATAATGAGGATGATTACAGGTCTTAAAATAAGCAAGCAATTTCTGAATGAATCAACAAGTTTGTAATTAAGGCTGAAGTTAATTGGGTTTTAAAGAGTGCTTTCAAGTGAAATCCTCAGGTAAAGTGGTTTGTGAGACAAAGAGAAGCGCAAATATAGGTAGAAGAATTACACCTTTCAAGTACTTTAGATTGGCTCTTTTGTGTTCATCAATGTTTCTAGCATCTTTTTAGAAATGACTTAACAGACCAATCATTTCCCCACAGCAAGGTTAGGGAGATGCTACGCTCCACACCCTCTGATATATTTACTCTTACACGAGTTTGCTCTATTTTATTTTTGTGTTCCTGTGCCCTTCTCATAGTTCCGTTAACAAGGCCATCACTTGTCTCTTTGATGAATGCACAGATTAAAGTCATTCTGTCACAAGATGCTGCTTCCTGTTTCATTTGCATTCTGCATCAGTTCTATTCTTAGAAATTATTATACTGTACATAGTCTTAGCTGCAGAAATGTTATGCCAAGATATTGTCTGTTTATGCAAACAAACAAATAATTAAAGACCCAATATGCAGATGAACAAGTGCACTTATGCCAGCACAGCCCCTGTATGGGAGCCTGTGCATGTTGTGCTAGACATAGTCTGCCCTGATCAATCTGTTTATTAACACTCTAAGACCTATTATGTAGCTTATATGTTATAAACACATGTTATTTTCTAGGACCATCTACCCTGGAATGTGTACTTCAACTAGAAGCTAATCTTCACATCTTCAGTAGCCTTCACGCTTGATCAGTAGCCCTTCATTCACCATTTCCATTGTTTTTCTGTCTTGTTGGGAAGGCTTGAAGTATTGTTTATTAATGATGCATGTCAGCACTGTTCATGAATTACATAAAAGAAGAATTCCACCCATTTTTCAAAATGTTCTGCATAATTAAATGGTTGAGAGGTAAAGAAAGTCATTCAGAGTGGTTTGATGTGAAGTGCTTCATTACAGAAACTTACTGACCCAGATTTCTTTACAATGGTGGTGATAGGAACCAGGGGTCAGAATGTCTATAACAAAAATATAGTCATTTTAATTACTATCCAAAACGACCAGTGAACCTATTCTCTTGCGAGTTTTATATGTAATGTTGATGATGGTAAAATAGTGGTAAATCTGCTTTCTTTGAGGACTGTTTTGCCTTACAATGCCCTGCATGTACCTCTCTGCCATAAATGGATTTAAAAAATACATTTTAGTCCAAAAAATCTTTGCAAAACTATCGCAAAGCAACGTCTCAAGTATCAGTAAATGTATTCGGAACTACTGTAACCATTCCTAACTATATAATAAATGCTGTAATGTATGTTTTAGAGGTATTAAATGCTTCAACTGTCTGGTTCCTAGCACCACCGCTGACTCATGCGGCTCATTTCATTGTGCAGAATTTTTTTTAATTCTCCTTTAAGATATTAGCATGTAGTGCTGGACTGTATTGATAAAATTCAATACCATCTTATTTTTATAATATGTATGAGTATATTTATAGTATATACACCGATCAGGCATAACATTATGACCACTTCCTTGTTTCTATGCTCATTGTCCATTTTATCAGCTCCACTTACTGTATAGGTGCACTTTGTAGTTCTACAATTACAGACTGTAGTCCATCTGTTTCTCTGTGTACTTTGTTAGCCCCCTTTTACCCTGTTCTTCAGTGGTCAGGACCCCCATGGACCCTCACAGAGCAGCTACTATTTGGGTGGTGGATCATTCTCAGCACTGCAGTAATACTGACGTGGTGGTTGTGGTGTGTTAGTGTGTGTTGTGCTGGTATGAGTGGATCAGACGCAGCAGTGCTGCTGGAGTTTTCAGAAAGGAAACAGACTTTATGTAGGTTTTTTAATGTTTTTTAAATGTTCTTTCATAAACATTTGAAGCACTCAGCAAATTATGGATATTTATATATGTTTATATCATCTAACACTAGCACTAAAACTAAAAATCAGTACTGCTGCTGGCACTGTTATGGTATACCAGCATAGATATATCAGTCAGAACTGTTAGCATATTTGATAAGAATACATATTGTTGTTTCCTCTTCGTGCCAGCTGATGGTGCAAGTTTTCCAAACACATTCACTAAATGAGCCTTTCAAATGTGACGATTGCTCTGACTGACTAGGCAAATGTAAAGCGCTTAAACATTAAATATATACATCTGATGACATTGCATTAGATGCTGTAAAGCAAACACATTTTCGAGTACTTTAGACCAGCTATTGTGTGATACACATCAAAGTTACTAACATCAGTTTAGTACAGTGGTCTCCAGCCCTGGTCCTGGAGAGCTACCTTCCTGCAGAGCCTAGTTCCAACTACGGTTTGCCACACCTGCTCCAACTAATCAGCCTTGTCTCAAGTCCCTGATTGGCTGGATCACATGTATTAGAGTTAAGTAAGGGGTGGGGCAGCTTACTGGATACAGGTTGGAACTAAGCTCTGCAGTAAGGTAGCTCTCCAGGACCAGCGTTGGAGACGTATGGTTTAGTAATTACTTAACAGACCACTTATTTCTCCATAGCAAGATTAGAGTGATGCCACACTCCACAGTCTATGAGGGTCCTTGGTGCTGTTACTCAGCTTAGTCTGCTCAAATTTAGTTATGTGTTCCTCTGCTTATTTGAAAATATTGTATTAGATATTGTATTAGCATCGACAAACGTCTGTGAGAAACTCTGATCTAAAATACTTTCTCCAAACATCCTGTCCCTGAACAGCGCAGCCAAGTTATGTGCAGCCAGGGACCCTTCCAGTGTGAAAATAAATAAATAAATAAATAAATCCATGGACCCCCACAGATATTTTTGAATACAATCCAACTGCTTATGATTAGGCAAATATGCACAGTTGTCTTCCTTTTCTAATCCACTCTGCTACCTAATGAGTAGGCCTGAGAGCTTTCTGTGAGCTTGTGGCCAAAGACTGTAGCTCTCACTCTTACATTTGAACATTCTTTTGGTTTCCTGGTATAATTGGGACGCTCTGTAACACAGCTAGGCTGGCTTCACAGCCTCGTTAGCTAGCACCTTCAGACAGATGGCACATTTTGGTCTACTGTCTGTCTTCTCAATTAAACCTAACCCAATGTACTTGTCATTGTACTTGTGTAATTTTTCTGATCTGGCTCTAGAGTCCTCATCCTTCTCACTACATGAAACAGTCTGACTATTTGGCTCTTTCAAACGTTTGTTAGAATAGGCAGGTGATTTAACATTAAGCATTAATAAGTGATGAGCATGGTGTCATAGTGGCAAACAGTACTGAACAAAAGTCAGAGACCACCCTTTCCACCCTTTCATTTATTTAATTTCCGGTCAGGTGGCGGCCATTTAGTAGGTATTGTTTATTTTTTAGTGTCTGGAGCAGAAGCATAAATTTAACAGGTGTTTCCACAACAAATAAATATATCACATTTTTCAGTATTTAGTATGTCTACCGTTTACCTTTATTACAGCTTCTATTCTTATTGAGAGACTTACTTTCAGTTTTTCAAAGAAATCCCCGAGAGATATTTTTCCACACACTGCAAAAATAGTATCTTGTCAAGTGAAATGATTTTAAATCTAGTCAATGTATCTAAAATGTTCCATTTCGAGATGGTTGTGCACTGATAATATGATTATTTAGCTTATTTTGAGGTCATTTTATTAAGTAAAAGTGTCTCACTATACTGGCAGATAATTTTGCTGGTTTCAAGCACATTTCTTAAAATAAGCAAAATAATCTGCCAATGTACTGAGATAAATTTACCTAATAAGATCACTTAAAACAAGTAATAAATGTCTGGAAATAAGTTAAATAATCTTAAATTAAGCTTACATCAATCTCAACAGGAGAGATATTAGATTTATTGACAACATTTAAGATCATTTTACTTGACAAAATACCGTTTTTGCAGTGCACCTCCAAAGTTCAGTCTTAGACGTTGGTTCCATTTTCCTCCTTTCACTGTCCAAGCAATCCCATTTACAAATGTAAACTCATCCAAGCAATCCTATGTATAAATGTAAATTACGAATGTAAACTGGTGTAAACTCACCAGTCTCACCAATCTTACTCTACATCTCAGATGTCTAGTTTCAGTGGTCTAGTGTACCTTTTTCTATTTCCTTTTCTCAGTAACAGCTTCTTGACATCTACACATCATTTCAGACACATAGTGTTGTTGTCTTCTCACACTGGAATGATCGACAGTAACACCTGTGGATTTTTTCAGATCTGAAGCAAAAGTGGAGCTTGATTTCCTCTCAAAATGAGACCCTCAAGTACTGATG